ATCTGGGTCTTCTGTACATATCTCAGTCATTTTTCTGGAATATAAAAATGTCTCAGGTTTCTTCAGCAGTTTTCTAAATCAAGGACATGATTGTTTTATCCCCTGACTGTTTTTCAGGAAATACCCAGTGTAATATTAGCAGTCTGGAATCTTTAGCTTGGATGAAAAAGCCTGTTTTCTCATCTAAGATTTCTGCATCACTGTAAGTATTGCTTTAATACTGTTGTTGATGGTTGTTATGAATTTCATATGCAATTTTGTTTTCCTGTTTTCTTTTGGTTTTGATGCCCTTTGAGAGCAGAGAAAGTAAAAGAGAATGTGAAGGAAGATAGAGCTGTCTTTTGACTCTTGATAGTAATACCTGGAAAATTATAACTTGGTGACTGTTACAGGTTAGGTCTGAGTGATGCTTTGAATTTCTAAGTTTGAAGTCAGAAGAGCCCATGAATAAAGGTGGGTGCCTTGGGTGATCTGAGAGAATTGACCTGAAACATTTTGTTGAGAAGTTGTCTAACATCCTGCACAAAGCGAGGTGTTTGTTCTGTCCTAGATGTGTTTGACCGTACTGAGAGGAACTTATTGAGGTGCAAAGAGCACTCATGCTTGTAGGTTGTCATGGGTTTTTTTGTGTTTTACCGAATTTGGAGACTGAAATAGTGTTTGGCTTTGAAGATGTTATCTCTAACAACTCTCCATAAGTCATTCAGAAGTAACATGCTCGTCAAGTTGGGCTTGTTGGTAATTGAAGTATATTCTAGAATATAACCATGAACAGTTAACCTGTGACTTTGTCATCTGTTGGGGGTGTATCTACTGCAGTAGCAGAGGTAATGATGTTATCTCCATTCTTCATGCCTGTGGTGGTGCATTTCCCTGCCCTGCTTCTGGAATGCCCTATGGTCTTGGAAATTCCTGTCAAGCCTTGGCCTTTGTGCAGTGAGTTTGGCAGTTAAGCGTCCCTTGACAGTTCCAAGCACGCTTTTGTAGTTACGGTGGGGAATGGCACTGGCTGTACCAGGAATTCAGATGACTGGCTGACATAAAAAGGCCTGAACCTCAGGCCTCAAAACAAAGTTGACTTCCGAGTGAATCTTCCAACCAGCATCATAGCAGCATGAAATACGACCATGGTAATATCCTCTGAAAACTATAAATAAGGAACGCATGTTTTTGGACCCTAAGACAGATGCTTCCTAGAAAAACAGGAACTTCTCAGATGCACCCGGGATCCTGGCCACATCCGGGATATACCCAAGTGAAGCAAAGCCAATCTACCAGATGTTTCCATGCCTTTTTTAATGATTTGTTCGTTAGACTGTATAAAAGCAGGACCCTTTCACAGCGAAGGTGGAGCTTCACCTATGAGTGGACACACTGCGTAGGACTTCCCAATTGCCGGGAATGGTTCTCCAATACTTCGCTGTAACGGGGCTCCCCAGCTGATTCATGGATCTGGATGATGTAAAGTATTAGGGCAATTGGTGATGTATCTTCCCTAATCACTATAGTTACTTTAGTAATGATCAGGTACATTACTTTGCTTATTCCTTCTGCTGCTTTAAGCTAAAGTAAAATAAGCTTATCTTGTTAACTTGGTGTCTGTGTCCTTTCTGCTGACCCTGCCAATTAGCAAAACACTGGCCAAGGTGGGGAACAAGAGTGGGAATAGCTAATCATCCCCTGATAGCCCTGGAATGTATCCTAACTTGGGTAGATAGGTACTAGTGTTGTAAATAGTTAAAAGTTTGAGTTGGTAGCCTGACCCTTTGTCATCAGTAAGCCAACTCACAACCATGTGAGAAAGAAAGAATGCAAGGTCCGCAGGTTATGAAGACTTCAAGGGTATAGCTTTTGCAACTGTGCCTGGTACATCCTGGGGAAGTGTAGATAAACCATCAGACACCAATTGAAAACCAAGATAAGGAACTTCAGGAGTTCTACAAACAGAGCGAGGTGACATGGCGAGGCCATATATCGAAGAAAGACTCAGAGTTCATGGAAATTACACTGAGACACATCTTCAACAAGCACTAGAGACCATGGAATACCCTCCATGGAAGCCCCTCAGAGACCCAGGCCTAATGTGTAATGACTATGTAAATATGATAATTAGTTCCAGGAACTAGAATGAATGTGTATAATCATTCCAGGAGATGTAATGCATATGTATGTAACAGGGTGATAGCCGCTTTGACTGACACAACATATGGCATGCACGATAGTTGGAGTGATCCCCCGTGCATCCAGAGCTGCAATAAAGAGAATGCCTGCTTCTTAACGCTGCATTGGTGTTAAGAGGCTTATTCCCTATTTCTGTGACATTAGAAGTAGGGAATATTTCTGAAACCTCCACTCTTTGAGGCCCAACCCTCATCTGTTGAGAAATGCAGAGGAATTCAACATGAATATTACAATGAACTCAAGGGGAATTTTTAACAGGTACACTTTTATATATATCTCTTTGTCTGTCTATGCAATTTCATTTTAATGACTTTTAAGTCTTTAAGTTAAAGTTAATTCATCGATAACTAAGTTCTGCTATAAAATTCTGTAATCTAATCTTGTGATTTATCTTAATAGCATTGACAAATTTTAAATTGCTGCTGTTCCAGAGTTACACAGAATGCAAAATCATACGTCAAATTACCACGCTGAGATCCCTGCACCTAGTCCTTTTAGACATAAACCATTGATTAAATCTGGGACTAGGAGTGGATCCAGATACACCAAGACTCCTGAGAAGGAGTTACAAAGGCAAGGGGGTTCACTGTGAACCTTGAGACCCAATGGGAGTGTGGGGAAATGGCTGCCACCAAAATAAAACCCAGGTGCTAAAGAAAAGGGAACTAGAGGGACTAGAAAAGAGAGAAGCAGGGCCAAGTGTAGGCTGGGCAGTTCCTTCTTTTTTCGGCCCTATCCCCTCGCTGTGCAGCACGTGATAAGAGCTGTGCCTTACCCACACCCTCTGTCAGCTGCACCACTCAAACGCTCCATCCGACTGGGATAAGAGTTGTTTACAACAACTAAAGACCCTCTCTTAGACTGATTAGACCGTGTCATGTTAAACAGCCAAAGGTGTATGTGACAGCAAAGGTATAAAATGTTGAGGTGGAGTCCACTTGGTGGAGCTCCCTCTCGGCTGGACTTTGACCCCCACTTGCTGCATCTTGACGGAACAGGTTGTATAATCGTTTCCTTTCTCTCCCTCTCTTTCTTCCTCTCTCCCTTCTTTCCTTTTAGACCATACATTTCTTATATTACTTATCACTAAGGTTTATATTTTAGTTTGCTTGTAGATGTTGATTGGTGTATAAATATTGATTGATGATTTAATAAAACCTGTATGTGTGAGTTAAAAACCCAGCCACGATACTCTGTCTCCTACTTCCAAATGAAAAACACCCTCCCTGTCTGACACTCTGCCAGTGAAACAGGTTGATGAAGGAGCTTGCCTGACTACTTGTCAGTGAAGCAGGTCCCTCGACCCCGAGAAGGTGGGCATGACAGGGAGGGTCTCCCTCATTTTCTTACCTAATCCCTATAGAAATCATAGCAACCTGACTCCATGTAAATAATTTCCTTTGGTCCATATGTAAATCTTTCTAACCCAATTTTAACTTGATTTCCTATTGGTATGCTTTTTCAGTGTTGAAAAAGTGACCAGGCAGAATTAGGGGTGGTTTACTTGTAGCTATGTGTTCTGTTAACTGGAGTCACAGGCACATGTTTCTCAAAAATTAGTAACTGCCCACAGTGTCACAGAAGAGCAAATGACATGTAAAATAGAAACAAGTGGGCCACAACATTATGAGAGTGTTCTACTGAACCGAAATTAATTTTCTCCTGTCTTCTGTTGTATTTGAAGTTATAACTGGAGTCGAGTCTTCTTGTCTGAAAACTCTGAGCTGTATTATATTCTGTAGGTGCTTTTAAGCATCGTGTATTGTATCGTATTTGAACATGAGCCAGCAGTGTGCCCAGGTGGCCAAGAAGGCCAACGGCATCTTGGCTTGTATCAAAAACAGCGTGGCCAGCAGGTCCAGGGATATGATTCTCCCCCTGTACTCGGCACTGGTGAGGCCGCACCTCGAGAACTGTGTTCAGTTTTGGGCCCCTCACTACAAGACAGACATTGAGGTCCTTGAGCGTGTCCAGAGAAGGGCCACAAAACTGGTGAAGGGCCTGGAGAATATGTCTTATGAGGAGCGCCTGAGGGAACTGGTCTTGTTTAGCCTGGAGAAGAGGAGGCTGGGAGGAGACCTGATCACTGCCTACAACTACCTGAAAGGAGGTTGTGGAGAAGTGGGTGTTGGTCTCTTCTCCCTAATGACAGATGATCGGACGAGGGGGAATGGACTCAAGCTGCGCCAGGGGAGGTTTAGATTGGACGTAAGGAAGAAGTTCTTCGCTGAAAGGGTTATCACACACTGGAACAGGCTGCCCAGGGAGGTGGTGGAGTCACCATCCCTGGATGTGTTTAAGAGACGGGTGGATGAGGTGCTGAAAGATATGGTTTAGTGGTGGACAGATACGGTTGGACTGGATGATCTCTAAGGTCTTTTCCAACCTAGTGATTCTATGATTCTATGATCGTGCTCTGCAAATGCATTGGGTTTTTTCCATCATTTGGGGATGACAAGGTAAATACAGCAATCCATTAAAAAGGATACGATAATAGAATTGGCAGAATAATGTGAGGATTTAGTTATTCATTACATAGTCAATAGAATTGTTGGTTGCTGATCTGTCTTTTTGTACCTTAATTGTGTTCTGGGAAATAATTTATGAAACTTGACATTGACAACGTTGATGTCCGTGGGGTGTGCCAGTGGAGCTGCTCCTCTACCCAATGGTTTAGGTTCAATGGTTCTGTTCATAATGCATTCTGAATCACTTCTTGGTAAGTGAAATAGGTTTTGATCGAAAGATTAAGGTTTGATTTAATTTTTTTTTCTTCTAGCATTTTGTTTTTTGCTGAAGAAAAGAGAAATACGGAAAAGATGGACTGGAATGTAAGACCGCTCCAGAATGCTGATGCAAAGAACCTGCAAAGCGAAGAAGCATGTTACACTCCGTTGCTTTCTAGTGTACGTGTTTTTCCTCAGACAAATTCCTATTCTTCTAAAAATGGATGCACATATCCTGGAAATAACGAAATGGTGTATCTGCCAACCAGCAATGTTGCATTCCCTCTTGTAAATGCTGAAGGATTCCAAACTTCAGATCAGGCCTTACCAGGAGCATCTGTGGCCAGTAATGATTTTTTTGTCTCAAAATACTCAGTTGATCAATGTCCACTGTCCTCTGTACCACCAGCTCCAAAACCTCCTAGTCGGACATCACGTTTGCGGACAGAGATGACTCGGACTTCTTGGCCAAATTCTAATGCCTACACTTATTCTTATAGAAAGTTACCTACCCAGTCTTCTCAAATGAGTGCTGGAAATAACATGAGAAATGTATTTCAGGAACCTCAGTATGCCACTACAAACGGTTACGTTATGCAGCCACACATACCGCAGCATAACTCTATGACAGCTACAACGTTCTATCACAGTGACATTAATTCCCAGAATAATTCTATGTCTCTTGGTACATCTGGGCAACGTGTCCACAACAGAATGTATCATCACAACTCTCAATTGAAAGTTTTACACTCATTGAATCAAAGTACAGTAGCAAATGTACAGCTGCTACAACGTCAGCCAAGCCAGATGGGATCAGAAGCTGCTAGCGGACGTTCTGCTCCATCTTTGTTGCCTGCCAACTGTGATTCAAGAGCTGCAGAACAGTCTTCACTAGGCATACTACAGACAGTTCAAAATGTGCCTAACGGATACGCCTTTAGCCAACAGAGTTGCCCATCAGATCCACAAAACGCTTCTGGTTTTAATAGCGTTCTGCAACACTGTCAGAAACAGCAATCTGGAGAAGGTAGTCAGTCGGTTGGGAATGTCTGTAATTCAATTGAAAATGTGACAGCAAATAAGCCTTTTAATGAAGTGTCTGTGCCATCCCCTGGCTTTTCCAAAGAACTCTATGATATTTTGCAGGAGGTGGAAAGTATTCCTTCGGTGGCTGCTTCAAAGCCACTGAGTGATCCTGCTTCAGTTCAAGAAAGCCAGACTAGCAGTTTAATGAATGGGCCTGTTAATTCTCAGTTTTTTTCAGCAACAGCAGATGAAGGAATGGTTAAGGAAAGACTAGATTGGGAAGCTCAAAGGCTGCTCGCTATTAAAAAAAAATGTGTCCTGCTTGAAAGGATACATCTTTATAGGAGAAAAGTCTTAGCAGCTTCAGGATGTGAGAAAAGTACTCCCCCACTTCTTCCAAATTACCAAGCTACTCTTTCTAATTGTCTTCCTACTGTGCCCAACCAAAATGTACCACCTTCCTCATCTGAAACAGTGAGGACAGAGAGTACAATACTTAACTCTTCAACTGAAGAAGGAAACAACAAAAACGTAGCCAATACTGATAACAGAGGATTAGAGGTGACTAAAAGTAACCCTCAGGTGGAGCAGGGAAGCCTTTCATCAAGCTCTGCTCCTATTCCTTCTCAAAGCCAACTCCCAGCTCAGTTAAATAATCCTGAGAGCAATCCCATCTCTGAACAAAGGGATGCATATGCCTTGGCTTCTTCTCAAAAAAACATTACATCCTTGAACAGCGCTTCGTGTGTCAGTCAAGTGGATAGCTCTATCAAAACTGCATCAAAGAGTTTGCCAGTTAACCCCAAGAACTCACCATTTCTTCAGTTTTTCTTGAGCAGCACAAATACACTGAAAGAGGAGAGAGCTGGTGCTACTGCTGATAAGATACTGACTAGTCTCCTGTCTGGTGAAAAACCATTGATAGGTGCATCTGTTTCAGGTAGAAGCTTATTAAAAGACACTAGTGAGAAGAATGTAGAAGGTTTGAAAGGTGAGCAACCATTTACGGTTCACACAAACTCTTCTGTATCAGAAAAAAACAGATCTGGTAAAGCTAAATTCCAGAGTGGTGCAGCTCAGAAAGAAAAGCCATTTACTGAAAATACATCTTTTAAACAGAACAGTTATAATTACTCTGTGGAAGAGCTAAATGCATGCCTGGGCTTGTGGAGAAAGCATCCGTCGAAATCTGTAAGTGTGCAAAATAGCCAGTCAAATGAAAGCCCCAGAGTAAATCAGATTTCACCTTGCAGCCAAAATGCACAAAATAGAGAAGAAAATAATGTTCTGGTTAGTACAGAGGAAGAAACTTTGCCTACAACAACTGCTTCTGTAGGGCAAAAACTTGATACTGTGAGCTGCAATTTGATAAAAGGTTCTGAACTCCAGGTTGCGGTTGTCTCTCCTTTAGTGCTTTCTGAACAGAGAACACAGTGTGAACAGGCAGACAAAAGTCCAACATCTGCAGGGAAAACCTGTTCAGTGATTGACTCAGGAAGCACAGGTAGCTTGCAAGAAGAGGGGAAAAATGGTTTAAGTGTGATGAATACTGATAAAGGAACAAAAGAAACTGTTTGGTCACCATCCAGCAATTGTGTTCCGGCACTGAAAGTGGACTCACATTTGCAACAGACCAAATTAGCTGGTGGAAACAGAATAGTAAAAACCAGCATGGGCACAAATGATTCATATAATGAAAACCAAAGGAAAGTTAGTGAATCTGCACAAGATGCCAGAGAAAATCTGCAGCTGGGGTTACAAAACAAGCCATCTCTTCCTGAACTGGGTATCAATTTTTCGAGTCAGATCTTTCAAGATGGTATGAAAGACCACAAAGACATGCAAGCTGTGTTAGAGACAGGAGATACATCCACAGCTGTCTTGGAAGAAAAGATGTTTTGTATTTCTAGTGTATGTTCTCTTGTTGAAGGTGATAGATTTTATAATCCACAAATAGCAAGTATCTTTAGGTCAGTCCCTGAGACACATGCATTAAATGGTACCTCATCAGAGGGAAAGGCATCTGACCCGGGGCAAAAGGAGCGACAGTGGGACTTGCATAAAAATAAGGTGAGCAATAAAACTCCCCGAAGACAGAGCTTGCTGCAAAATGTGTTGGAAGAATCATCAGGTTGCATGAGTAAAGCAGGTAAGATTCTGGATGGCATCACAGCTAGTCAGTTGGAGAAGGAAAGCAATGGCAATCCTCTTAAAACAATTTCTACCTTAGAACAAAACCCGCCATTCAATGCATCTTTCAAAAATACTGACAAGGACTTGGAAATTCTTGCTAGTATAAACCAGGAGTTAGCTCAAAATTCACTTGATTTCTCCATCAGCGTAGCTGCTGAAACAAATGCAGTCACTCTTCCAAGAGACAGCAGTAAACAAAATTACATGTTCAGTAAAACTAGCACAGAAAAAGAGATGAATCTTTTTGGAGTGCAACCTGTTAAATATCTAAACAATCAGCTGTCTGAACTAGTGAAAGAGTTTCCGTATGGCATTGAAGGTGCTGATATGCTAAGAAAAGAACCAGTACAAAATGATTCTTTGGCTGAACAGAAGGAGAATCAACCTCAAAAAGAGACTCAGATTTGTGACAAGGATTCTCATTTGAAGGACTCGGTAGGTCAGAGAACAACTGTAGTGTTAAGCTCTGATCAGATGAAAGAACCGTTTCCTGAACGCAACTGGTGTTCCTCTAGTGACAGCAGGAGAGTAGCGAGTCAACAGTCAGAAAAGTCTTCAGCTGAGAAGGAGAACCTCGAAGGCGGCGTTCAACCTAGTCAGTGTCTGGGCAAGAAGACAGAAAACCCACAAGAAAACTCCAACCCCAGGGAAAAAGAAAAAAACGATTGTTCTTTAATGGGTTGTCTATCTGTAGCACGTGAAATGCCACAGTGTGCCTCTGAATTGGGAAAGTTTGATTCGGAGCAAAATGATGATCAACTTTCAAAAGCTGAAAATACCAGCTCTGCGGACAGACAAGAAAACAACGGTAAATCTGATGCTGTAACAAAGAACAACGGTGCAGTGGGAAACCTGCAAAGTTCTGAAGAAATCCCAAACAGTGTTAGCAAAATTAAAAAAGACACTTGCAAATACAGTTCTGTAATGAACACAAAAACTAGCCTAAAGGTGAATAATGAATGCGAACCGCTTACAACACAACAGGAGAAAATTAAACCACTCAATTCCTCTGAAAACCAGGATGCCAACAAATGTAAAATGAGCAGCTGGAAGGAAGAGCTGCAAATCGACAAAGGAATCTCACTGTTGGACAAAGATTTTCAGTCTGACAAGAAAGATCAGACAATCTCAGAAGAGTTGTCAGAGAAAGCTGGTCATACAGATGCAGACAACATGGCAAAGTCATCCAAAAAGAAAGAGACAATTTTGAAAAGGAAGTCCCTTTCAGAAGATAAAACCAAAACAGTTTTGGCCACAAAGTCCAAAGCAGATGTTCAAAAGTTTGCAAAGTCAGAAACTGTTGAAGTTAAGCATGTTGAAGTCAATCAAGGACTAAAACTTAAAACCCATGAAGAGAGCTCAGTTGAAGAACAGAACTGCAGGAAACAAAAGGAGATACTTGGGCAAGACGTAGGAATTAACATCAAAGAGAAAGCCAAATCATCAGCTGAAATACAACATAAAAAGCTGAAAAGTTGTCATGCTGATGCTGTAACATTGCCACATTTTGGCACGGTAGACCTAAAGTCAAGAAATCACAAATATTCTCAGCATAAAGCTATGAAAGCTCATCCTTCAGAGGAGCAGTCATACAAACGGAAGAGGAAGGAAAATATGATTGGGAAGAGAGACTCTAAGAAAACAAGGGTGGACGAGGAAAGACTGAAAAAATCTGAAACAAAGAATTCCAAGCAGCTTTCACAAAATTGCGTGATAAATACTGACAAAGCTAAAAAAAAGAATGTAGAAAACAGCTGGAAACCAAAGACCTCGTTAGCAGATCGCTCTGTGATTAAACTACAGAGAAAAAGGGCTCGACCGTCTACCATCTCTAAAAGCTACTTTTCTAATAAAGAGAGACGTCTTGATGGTCAAAACAAAGACAAGTGCTCTGAGAAAATGTTTCCTGATAAAAACCTGCTATACTTAAATAGAAGGAATAACAGATTAAAATTGCATATTCAAAAGGAACCAAAAAAACACTACCTGAACAGAGTTGCATTTAAACGTACGACACAGGAACGCATATATCTGACAAAATTGGAGACATCGCCTGTCAGACCTGTCTGGCATCTAAAGCCCAAGGTGTCACAAAACAGCCCAGATGTGAAAAGAGATGCTTCTGTCTCAGAAGCTGAGAAACCGTGCAAACAGGACATACTTGAATTCAAGCTGTGTCCAGAGATACTGTTCAGAAACCCAACCACTGATGAAGAAAGCTTAGCTGCAAAGAAATCCCTGGAAAGTGAGAAAGCTGTTGTGGCAGGTATGATGCTATCTTGATTATTAATTTATAAGTAACTTAATTTGCAATTAAAAAGTATGCACCTGTTTTTTAAATCCACGTTGTGCAAAACCAGACAGTGAAAATATGGAACTCTAGAGGCTGAAGGTTGAAATAGCTTAGCTGGCTTTCTGACAGATTGTAGCTGTGTTAAGATGGAGAAGAACACGAGACTTTTCCTTCAATTGAATGTTTTATTCTTTTCCCTTGTTTTACAGAATAAAGTTAGAGTAGTTTAGAGCATGGCAGTTTCAAGTTACTTTGTGAGAAGGCTTTGTAACCCGCCTTTAGAAGATAGCTTGGCCTGTTCACAGAAAGCAGATTCCCTTAGCTAGTTGCCAAAGGTGGTCTGATTTGTATTCAGTGTTCACCTGGATGCGTATAATTCCGGGTGTAGACAGCAGAGGGAGAGCTCTTTTGTGGCATGGAGGAGGAGAGAGGCTATGGGCCAGGCATATCCTGCAAACATTCTCCATAACCTTTGCCGCCTTTGCTGTAAGCTGCCTTTTTTCCTCCTCTTCTTCCCTATCCCCAATCTTTCGACATATTGTGGTTTTGCATTCTGAGGCATATTTGTGTGAAATTCTATATTTGATTCTAAATAAACCCAGATCTTAAATTGTACGTACTGGCTCTGGCAGTCATTGACACACCCAAAGGAAATTTCCTTTTGCATGTTCTGGTTAATGCTTGATGCTGAATAGAGACTAAAACTTAGGATACAGGAACCTCAAAAATACTTTTAAATTTTCTCTTCAGGTGTCAAGAGTAAAAAAGAAGATTGGTTAAAATGTGATCCAGTGAAGCAAAAAACGCTGCAAGAGATCTGTACAGGTGAAATGACTGCTGATAATCCATTTTGAAATACAAGTTAAATACTCTTTGCTTGGTTTTAACCGTTCCTTTGCATTAGCAAATCTTAATAAAGTATTTTAACTTATTCTGTACCAGCTCCTCTGCTGAAATTTATACTGTGGAGTAGACATACTCATTTCAAAGCTTTGTGGAGGTTTTTATTGCCATAAAATATGTTGTTGGATATTTTTGGAATTTTCCTGCATATTTGTGTGCACTTGAATTGGAGATAGCACTGGTGGCAAGATTCAAGTACAGTTTTAGCTGTAGGTAAAGCCCAAGCTACCTCTTTCCCACTTTAAAATGTAGAAAGCGACATAACAAAACGTAGTGTGAGACTATAAAACCAGAAAGTGATTATTTTATTTTATTAGGTTTTCACAGTAAGTTGATGCTGCCCACACATACAGCCATGCTCACAAGTAGCTGGACCTTTGTGTCCCAGTAGTCTGTATGGGATTACTTGTATGGCACACAGAGGAAAAGTGGTGTCACTGCTACATCTTCCTTGCTTCTCTTGATTGGCAAATTACTTTCTGGATCATCTTTTGTACCCTTTAGGGAGTCAACAGCTACAATAGTGGCATCTTTTATCTCAGGATCTTGGATATTCCATCTTTTGTAAATCTGGGGCAAGGTTGCACCCTGCTACCTTTCTTGTTTTCCTACTGGTCTCCTAGGAAGTGAAATAGTGCGTTCAGCATGCTGTAACCTTGTTGCCATCCTCTTCTTACCGGAATGCAAGTCCTCTGCTAACAAGTCATCTGTGTTGTGGTCTTGATCCAAGCAATTACATCTTTTACTGCTATTGAACGTGTCCTTGGCTATTGGCGTCTGCCATTCTCTTAGCCCTTCTGCTTATTTCTTCTCTTACTTTCACAATTGCACATTTTCATTCACACCTTTCTCAATAAGCTTTAGAAATCTCTCTTACAAAGACACCAAATGACCTTGTGCTGCTTACGGTTGTGTTGGAGATGGATTTAAATCTGAGGCGCCTGATGCTTTGGGAAGGAAGTTTGTGGCCTCCTTTTTGCCAGTGGGCAGCCTTAAGTACCACATTCATAAGGAGTGGAGTAATTTGAGAGTCAGACTTTTGCTTTAACCCGCTTCTCTGTCTGTCTTTCAGCTGAGGACAGTATTCCACTTGATACAGCTATACAGCTCCTGGATGGAAATGGCGAGGCTCTTCACATTCCAATCAAAGACTCAAAAGAGATTTTTCAGACCTACAGAAAAATATATCTGGAAAAAAAGATGCAAAAACCTTGATAGCCACTCCTGTGTCATAGGTCTTATTCAGTATCACTGGGGAAAAAATGCCACCACAAAAATGTTTAATTCATATTACTGAATAATTGTAACAAAAAAAATCGTGTGTGTGTGGGGGGTAATTGGCATTTTTTTCTCCCTATTTGCCTCATATTTGTGAATGGCTGAGATCTTATTCTGTATTTATTACACAAATATGCTTTGGTGCTGAAAATGCCATTGTGAAATGTATTGTTTCTTTTTGGCATATCTGAATCTTTTTTTAAAGATACAGGAGTTAGTTGAATTTTGACCAAAAAAAATCAAACTCATTTCAGTTGTCAGAGTTTGTTTTCTTTTCTGGTTCTGAAAAACTTCTACTTGCGGTGCTTTCCATTGCTGGCAGTGGAAAAATGTTCCTACTGGAAAGGGATTGCAGCGGATCCCCAAGCATTATAGGTTTCTTTTCTGCATATGCTAGTCTGATTGTTGTGCTTCTGACAAGGCTTCCTATTTTTGTAGAAACTTTTTTTTTTTTTTTTACTGGGAATACAAATATAAAACCCTCAAATCAGGGGATACCATGAAGTATTTATGCTGCTACCCAGTTTTCTTACATTTCTTTTTGTGAAACTTGTACAAATTGAACTCAGAGTTCTTCATCCGAACACAATTCTGTAAACTGATAGTTGACTTAAAAATACACTTGTATTTTTCTCTCTCTCTGCTTTCTTTACACTTCAAAGTGTAATTGTTGAAGTTCAGGAAGTTTGAATTCACTCTGGTCTGGACTATGCTGCTTACTTTAACCAGACTATATTTGATATCTTTGTTTATAAAGTGTTAGATAATGTTTAACTACACGTTCACTGTGACATGAGTTATATTTGTTGCTAGATATCTTTTGTTTAAGTGCCTTTTCATTATTGTTCGTAATTTTTAATTGAATCATATTTTTTCAGAAATTTAGTACTTGATTCTATCTGTTTAAACGTTTATACTGAAAGTAAAAACTCTGTAGACATTTCATTGAATAATTTTTATATTTGAAATAAACTTTGGAAGGCTATGCCTTGTCTTCTTTTTCAGTCTGAGAGTATAAAGTTGTGTTTATTGCAGTTAGTTAGACAGGCATCGAAGATATTCCTGTAGATGAAATGCAGCTTTAAAGTAAGCGCCAGATCTTCTTAAAAGGTTTCATAGTTGCAAGTGAGAACTGGACTTTAGTCCAAGCTTTTTTTAATGAACTCCTAACTGCGTGTACTTATACTTCAGAAAACACATCAGGAATGTTTTTCTCTTAGCATCTTTTTTTCTTGTTTCTTTTTTTTCTTCTGCTTTCACTTGGAGTTGGGAATTGGCTGGCATGAGTGCTTCAATAGCCTTCAGTACTACTCCATTCCTGAAGATGTAAGCTTGTAGGCCTCTTGGATATAATTACCCAATGGAGCATGACATTATAATTTCCTAGCTCTATCTGCATGCTGAATTAAAAATTGGCTCTTCCCCTCCCCGCTTCCATCATGTGTATATTTCTTCTGTCAAACTAGGGGACTATTTAGGAGGTTTTAGCTCCTTTCCTGTCTGGCACAGCTGTCCTAACAACTTAGCTTTTTTTTTTCCCCTGGCTGGATGCCCACCTATTAGTTTGTGGGAAATGTTGCCACTGGAGAATTTTGTAATAATGTTGGCAACTCTGAGAAGGCTTTATTTTGAATTTTCTTGGGAGTTTAGTACCTCTATTGTACTGTCTGCATTAAGGAAGATTCATTGTAGCCTTAAGTGTACCTGGTACATACAGTACATAATTCCTGTCAATATATTTTGGGTTTTGTTCTGCATAATGATACATGAAGCTGATGTAAATGCTTGAGTGAATTCTTTTCAATAGGAAATTATTCAATCCATTGACCCATGATGATTATATTCTAAATATTTGGAGAAGTTTGCTCACTGACCCTGTGCACTGAGTAAATGAGAGTGCCAGTTTTGAGTCCCAGTGGATACAGCTGCATCTTCTTCTTCTCTTATACCAAGGAGTGAATCTTGTCTCTGTGACCATGTTTACACTGTGTCTTGTCTTACAGTGCTTTAGTATGGCTAGGATCTTTGGGGTAGGCTGGCCATATCCTTTCTGCTTGTTTCATATGTTGGCTCAGTAGCTACCCATTAAGCCTTTGTACTTAAAGTACTTTGGACTTAGGCTGGCCTCTGTGCTACACTGACTGCATAATTGCTGCATGCACCTGCATACTAAGAGGACTGTGGAGGATGCTCTTACTCAGTTGCCCCTTACGGTGCGGATTGAAGCCACAATACTACAGCAAGCCCTTGGCCTCGGAGAGGCAAGATGCTGACATCCACATAGATGTGGCTACTGTGAAAAAAACAGTGCTGTGTTGCTTGAAGCGAACTGACCAATGTGAGCCTGAGGGCATTCACTAGCGCTGAGGGGTACCTGTCATGGATGTGAGGTGTGCCCGTTGTCCTGTGTGTTGCCTGTACTTAAAAGGACTTGGACTGTGGATGTCATCAGTGGGGTTACTTTGTGCAAACCGTGGATGCTGTCATGGTTCTGAGAGCTCTAATAGGTCTTAATAGTCCTCATAAATCCATATGTGGGGCCTCCAGACACAACTCCTGCTCATGGGCCCAGGAACCTCATTTAAGATCAAGCCAGGGCTTCAGTCCCTGCCTGAGCAATGTTCAAGGTCTACCTGTCTCTAGCTCTGTTACAGTCATGCCCATGTGTGGGCATGGAAATTTCCCTTTGATCCAGACCTTGACGAATAGATGGTCTTCCTGCTTGGGCTCAGATATATCTCAGTACCATAAAGCTGCCTGTCAGTCATGACTGTATCTGACCTTGGTTACCATCACTGGATCTGATCCTGGCCTGAGGATTGACTTCCTAGCTTCGCTTTGGCCCTCCTTCATCCCTACAAGCTTGCCTGGTGATCTGGACACTGACTTGATCCTGGTTACCATCCTGTCTGACTTGCCTTGTGTGGGTGCTGTGGGGATGGGGCCTTGGCTGGTGAGGCCCCTCTCTTGCGGGTCGGGGTATCTACCTCGGCTTCTGGACCCTGGCTGTTACGGAGCCACTGGTCCTAGCTGAGCCCTGACAGATAAAGAACTGTAGTGTCTTCTCTATTCTTCCCATTTCCTTCTAGGAAGATTTCTTTGTCAGAGGGATGAGCTACCACTTCTATCATTCTTGCCTTTGTCCCCCAAGAGAGTCATGGATGAGGTTCCTGATGAGCGTAAAAAGGTGTAAATGTCATTTTCCACCCATTTTGAAAGACAAGAATATGGCTCACGGTACTATAGGAGATTAGTCAGCCAGCCTTACCCCTTTCTTTGGGAAGATTATACAACAATCCTCCTGGAAGCCATGACTACCCAAGTAGAGTATAAGGTGATTTGGAACAGTCAGCCTGAATTTACAGAGGGTACATCATACCTGATGGCCTCCTATGATAAGATGACAGATTTTGTGGACAAGGGGACCACAGAAAATGTTTACCTTTAACAAGGTTATTGACACGGTTTCTCATAGTATTCTTAGGGCTGCTTTGGAGAGCAATGGTTTGGATAAGTGATGTACACAGTGGGTGGAAAATCAGCTGACCGGCTGGCCTTGGAGGGATAAGGTCTGATCAGCAGTACAAAGTCGAGCTGGTATCTGGTTACTATTGTATTCTTCACCAGTTGATACTGGGGCTGTCATTGTTCACCGTCTTCGTCAATGAATTGGAGAGTGGGATGTAACTAACGTTTGCAGGAGTGCATGGAGGAATGGGCTCCTCAGGAAACTTGAGAGCAACTTCTGTGGAAATTCAGGAAAGGCGCACAGGGTGTCTTCCGAAAACACTTTCTTCGTGGGCTGGAGCATGCCCATGGCAGTGGGAGCTTTGGAGCACTTAGCTCTGAGTCTCAGCAAGTCCCGCTGGGCACATGCAAGCTTATGATCCAGGCTAGGGTGTGCTGATTTTGTTTGCTTACTCTTTTTTTTTTTTAATGGGGGTGGGGAGAGGGGACACTTCTCAGGGAGACCAAAGGGCTTACAGCCACACCAGGAACCCATGGTCCAGGTTTCCAGCCCTTGGTCATGAATAGAAAGAGGCTGAAATTTCCCAGTGAATGCAGCAGAATTTTTCTAGCTTTTTCTTTGAAATGACTGAGCTATTGCTGAAGAAAATTTAAACATACCCTGAAGCTAAGTTCCATTCATAGGGTGTTTCAGATAAGGCAGTTTAAGTTTGGTAGTCTGTGGTGAGTTGACCCCAGCCAGCAGCTAAGTACCCACCAGCCACTTATCTCCCCACCTCCCCCCCAGCAGTTTAAGAGGGAGAATAGGAGGAACAAAAGCAAGAAAACTCATGGGTTGAGATAAATACAGTTTTACAGTTTAATAATTGAAGAAAGGGAGGAAAAAAACAGCAAGTGATGCAAAGGCAAACACTCATCACCTCCTACCAGCAGACCGATGACCAGCCAGCCTCTGAGCAACAGCTACAGAAGGACTATCCCCCAGTTTTATTGCTGCGCGTGGCATCATGTGGTATGGAATATCCCTTTGGTCAGTTTGGGTCACCTGTGTGGCTGTGTCCCCTCCCAGCCTCTCGCCCACTCCCACCCACTCGCTGTGGGGGTGGAGTGGGAAACGGAGAAAGCCTTGAGGCTGCGCGAGCACTGCTCAGCAATCACCAAAACATCGGTGTGTTCACAACGCTGTTTTAGTCACACACCTAAATCTTGGCACTGTGTGAAGAAAACGAACTCCGTCCCAATGAGGCAGAGTACATAGTCAAAGATGGATTGAAGTTTTCAGTCCAAAGCTATGGCTCTTGTCATGGGAAAACGAAGATCCGTGCCGCTCTCGGCCAGCGCCTCAGTCCCAGTGCTGAGGTGATAAGGACACCTTCTTATCATTAAGTGACGATGCATACTGGTGTCCCTAGAGGTTCAAATGAATGCAGGTCTTGCATTCTCACGTGTTGAAGGTAAAATTCACCTGA